TGAGGAGTGAGGAGGTGAGGAGGTGAGGAGTGAGGAGGTGAGGAGGTGAGGAGTGAGGAGTTGAGGAGGTGAGGAGTGAGGAGGTGAGGAGGTGAGGAGTGAGGAGTGAGGAGGTGAGGAGGTGAGGAGTGAGGAGGTGAGGAGGTAAGGAGTGAGGAGTCAGGAGGTGAGGGGTGAGGAGGTGAGGAGTGAGGAGGTGAGGAGGTGAGGGGTGAGGAGGTGAGGAGGTGAGGAGTGAGGAGGTGAGGAGTGAGGAGGTGAGGAGTGAGGAGGTGAGGAGTGAGGAGGTGAGAAGCGGAGGAGTGAGGATATAGGGGTGAGGGATGAGGAGTGAGGCACCTGGCAAGGGCTCCCTCAGCATCCATTTCTGTGGGATCCCGGTATCTGATCCTCGCCTTGGCTCTTCCCCTGAAACCCTCAGGCTGCCTGCACAGCAGAGGGACCCCAATCCCTTCCCAATTCTGCCCCTGGCCTGGTGCTGGGATGGCAGGACCTGAGCTTTGTGGCCTCGGAATCCCAGGCCCCATGGACTTTGCCCTACAGTCTGAGCCTAGGTCACCTGGTGCCCTGAAAGGCCTTTCCCCAGGCAGGGCGGATACATGGGTGCCAGACAGGTTCTGATGAGCCCCAGGATCCCTGCTGGCCTAGCCGGGCCTTGCCTGGTGTCCACTGTGGGCGGCCAGAGGGGTCTGGAGTCCTGGGGTGCGGGGCATGGAGCAGAAACGGCCATGATGGAGGGGATGGAGATGTGGGGTTCAGGGATGTTGGAGGGGGCGTGGACTCAGGGCAGCCTGGGCAGGGGTTTTGGGACCCATTCTCCTCCAGACAGCATCTTGAGTCGCCCATTACCTGTGTTAGGAATCCACAGATTCATTGATTTCACCAGCCGCCACCCCCACCTCCCGCCCCCGCCTCCCCACCCTGCCAAACATCTGCTGTTTAAGAAGAAAGGCTCTGGACTGGATTTCTTGGCCACTTCCTCATCTCGGTGCATTGGAGAGGTGAGGCCAGGCTCAGACCTGATCCAGCTCCCCCGACCCCAGCCCTGCGAACCCTCAGCTTGGCCCCCTCCTCCCACAGCCTTGGGAGTTGCTCTGGGGGGCCTGCTCTTCCCAGGGGTGTCCTGGGGGCCCTGGGGACCTCTGGTGACCTTGTTGAGGGGCCTTCTGCCTGCAGCCACAAGCGTTCCTGCGGGAGCAGCCGACCGGCTCCAAGCCTGGCTGACTGAAATGAGATTCAGAAGGAACTTCATCGCCTCCTGCCCCCCGAGCCCGCTTCCCTCACTCTAAATAATTTAGACAAACACATATCTCTTTCACAGTGGCTGCCCTGAGCCCCTTTTATCAAAATCAGCCCTTTGAACAGTGTTTTCCGAGAACAGGAGGTTGCCACGAGCCGTTGGATTCGGGGCGGATGCATCATTCATGACGGGAGACAGCTGCTCCCGCCCCGCCCAGCCCCAGTGGCTGCAGGGACTGAGGGTAAGTCATCTCCGCCTTCTCCTTATCAGCAAGCGTCTCATGCAGGTCCTGGCGGGCCGCTTGCTCAGTAGACTTATATGCAGTTGGCTTGAGGTTTGGGGGTCCTGGTCCTGCCCTGCAGCAGAACCCCTCATTCTGGGATTTGGGAGCAGTGATTCCATGCTCCCTGCTTGGAGGTGGGCTGGAGGTGGATGTTCACACCTGTGACCGCGCCCGGGCCCCGTGCCTCCGGGAGGACAGCTGGGGGTGCCCAGAGCACAGGGTGGGGTGCAGGGCCCAAGGCCTGGGTTCGCTGGGCTGGAGGTGGGGGCTGGGGGCCTGAGTGTTGTCAGGGGTCAGGGATGTAGGTGCCTGTGGCTTCTCTCTCCACTTCTGACCTATGCATGCCTTCTTTTTTCCTATTTTTTAGTCTTTTTTTTTTTTTTGGCGGGTGGGGGAGGGTGTCTCATTCTGTCGCCCAGGCTGGAGTATAGTGGCTCCATCTCGGCTCACTGCAGCCTCCACCTCCTGCGTTCAGTTGATTCTCTAGCCGCCCAAGTAGCTGAGGCTACAGGCGCGTGCCGCCACACCCGGCTAATTTTTGTGTTTTTAGTAGAGACAGGTTTTCATCATATTGACCAGGCTGATCTTGACCTCCTGACTTCAAGTGACCCACCTGCCTTGGCTTCCCAAAGTGCTGGGATTACAGGTGTGAGCCACTGCGCCTAGCTCAATTTTTCAGTCTTCATAGACTATTTTTTTGGAACGGTTTCAGGTTACATCAAAATGCAGAGGAGAGTCTAGCGAATTTGCCTGTGCCCCACCCCACCCAGTTTCCCCGTTATTAGCGTGTGCCCTTCGCATGGTGCGTGTGTCACAGCTACCAACCCGATACGCATGCATCATTGTGAACTCAAGCCCAGCTGGATTCCAATCTCCTCCGTCCTCACTCGGTGCCTTCCTTGGGTGCAGGATCCCGCCGGGACCCCACGCCTTGGTGCATTTCCACCCCCTTCTCTCCTCGGGACGGTGCTCTCTCCCCTCCTGCCTCACTGTCTTCTTTTCTGCACGTAGGGAGTGAGGAGTTATGCGCCCTCTCCCTGAGGGTGGACTTCGAAGAAAGGTTGAATCACATGTCCCACTTTGCTCACAGGCTTGGCCAGCAATGTCATAGTAGGTTAAATGGTGGCCACCCAAAGGCGCCCCGGTGCCTGGAGTTGTGCAGGGGCCTTATTTGGAGAAACGGTCTCTGCAGCTGTAATTAAGGATCTTGAGACGAGGAGGCAACCCTGAATTATCTGGGCGGGACCTGCACCCGGTGACACATCAGGGGAAATTTTTAAATAAGAGAAAATAGGAAGCGAATTTGAGACAGATATAGGAGGAGCAGCCCCGAGGGGAGGCGGTGTGTGCAGGCGGAGGTAGGGACTGGGTGACACGCTCCAGCTGAGGAAGGACCGTGGCCACCGGGAGCTGGAAGAGGCAGGATGGAGCCTCCTCTAGAGCTTTGGAAGGAGCACGGCCCTGCCAGCATCTTCATTTTGGTCTTTGGGCCTCCAAAGACGAAAATGAGCCTTTTGAACGATGTTTTCAGAGAACAGGAGGTTGCCACGAGTCATGGCAGAATGAACGTCTGGTGTTTTAAGCCCCCGAGTTGGTTACAGGAGAGCTATCTCATCAGCCTGGCCCACAGG